TAGACTATTTGATTTGGGCTGCACTTTTAGTGTGTCAACAGTACTCACATATTAACTTTTGAGTCTATATTAATCGTCTCTTTATTTATTTATAAGTCACACATATTTTGATTAAAACGAATAATAGAAGATAAAAAATACTTTTCAAATTAAAGAAAAATATTTATTAATAAATTCATAATCCCTCTAGAATAAGATTTTTTCCTCTTAATTCTAAAAGTATTATTTTATAGTGTTTTACTGTATTCTTCACATTATTTCTAAAATATATTTATATATTGAAATCAGATAGTTACTTAAAAAACGAATTTATGCCAATGACACTTAATGGCAAGACGTTAATCCACAATTAATAACAAAGTAAATTTGCTTTGGAACCTAATAAAAGGCATATTAATTCCTTTATTAACAGTTTCAAGAAGTTAATATGCCTTGACAATTTTTTTTATCTTTCTATTTTGTTTTACAAAAATTACACTAATAGCCAACCTTTATTAAAATACTAGATCGGCATGCGGGTTAAGGCTAGCCAACTCATTACACGCCAAGGCTAGTCATTGGTCTAAGCTCTTTCTAGGTCTAGGTGAACCTAACGATTCGAAGATGTAAAAAAGCAAGCTTTTGACAGGGTGGTGTCGTATTAGCACCCTATTGGCCCTTTTTTTTTTTTTTTTCTTTTTTTATCTTTCAATGGAAACTCATCAAGTGTTATTTCTATAAAATTCTTGTTGATTTTTCTGTACTTATAGCATTACTCTAAAAAGATAGACCACTAGACCTAGTATCTCTAAAACTTAAACGCACACATCAACACCCTATGTTGAAAAGAAACAATCATGTAGATAAATTCATAGTTAAAAAATGTACAAAAAAAGCATGTCCCCAATAGGCATGGGTAACAAAAATGAGTCCTTAACAATCATATACGTAAATATTATAATGTACACAAACATCCCTGCTTGGTAAGGATTAAAAGTAATTTTTAGCAGATTTTGATGAAAGTTGATAAAATAATGATTGAAAATTGTGCGACTTATTAAATATGCGATTTAAATTAATTATTGACTTTGATTTAAATTAAAATCGGGATTTAAATCATTAGCTCAATCTATTTGGGCCCATCACTCTTTTACACTTCCACCACCTTATAAGAACAGAGTTGATCTTTTACAGTGGGCAGGAGATATAATGTTGATCGCTTATGGCGTTACTGTTGTGGAAGCTCGCGTCAAGGATCGTCAAATTGGTGATTTTCTAGCTCAATTTCACATTATCTTTCTTACCTACTAACTAATCCTAACGACTCAAATCCACAATCAATATATTTATCTTGGTTGCTTCTCAATCTCACCTGCAAAAGACAAGATAATGGTAATGATTTGTAGACCACAAAAGTACAAGAAGAAAGCAATCAAAGAGGTCAATAACACTAAGAAAGCCATCAGTTTTGTCTCTCTCAATGGGCATCCGATTTTGCAAGTAAAAAATAGCCAATTTTCTTCTTTTTCCCACACAAATCATACATTTAAATGGCTAGGATAGAAACAACATACATATAAGGTTAAGTTAGGCTTTAGTTGAACCAATAATAAGGTTATATGGGTCAATATTTAAAGTCATCTAAGAGGTAATATATATGGGTCATGTGTAGCATTAATTTCTTAAGCTACTTCCAACGGTCGATGTTTTTATCAGGTCGCGGCTTTGGACTTGGTTGTTAATAATTAATTCTCCATTGATCAAGGTTTATGGAATTATATTCCGACATTTATATCATAACTCTGAAATTTATTGGGTATTAAAACCCAACAAATCTCTACCTTGATCCCCAATCAACTTGCAAGCAATCAAAATATAAAGTTAATATTTCCATAACCAATAAAATTGGAATCACATACCTTACTTAGTGTTTCAGACTCGAAACACATATCATACCAGCTCCACATGTTCACGGGGCAAAGGTCACAAACAAATACCCAAGTAGAATCAGATAATCATAGTGAACAATTAAGAGCATAGAATCATGCGATGAAGATATAATATAAGATAACCTACAAATCTTTTCAAAAACCACATTCACACAGAACAAAATATTAATACCAATTTAATCAATCAAATGGTTAAAACACATGCAAGAAATAGATGACCTTACGAAAAGATCTCACTACACTTGTCCTATCTCATTTTGTGTTGCTCACACTTTGAGAATATATATCTCCTCTTATCGCCCGCCATACTCACTAGACCGATCATTTTATTCTGTTAACTGGTAAATCACAATATATCCTCAATCTTCAAGACAATCCTCTATCACCACATCATTTCTCCCAACTTAAGTAGATAATGAGCCTTCACCTAATAGAAGTGATATAAGTGCCCCTCTCACACTCCATCTTATTAGGGTCTTTACAGATAAAGGATTTCAACATTTAATTACATCTCCACTCGTGATCCAAAATGTTACACTATACATCCCCGATACATACCACCAATGTACTCATATACATCTATACTCCACCTCATCAATAGACACTCAACACACATTTTGCTAATGCATTCCAACCCATTAGCATGCAAACAATTACAATAAGTAATTAAATAGCTTCAAAATGCAACATATAATCATGCAATAGAATTAAATAATCACACACATGCTAAAATGATTATACATAGATGCATATGCAATACTAGGTTTATTCACAATAAATCTTACTCGAGTCATCACTTGATCCTATAGCCACATTCGCCTCACCTCTCATTTTAACATTCTGTTTATCCTTCTTCCTGGAATAGTTCTCAATAAAGCTCTCAACTTTACCACAATTGTAACACCGTATGCCAATGGACTTGTCCCAACCATTGCCCTTCTGCATATCACCTTCATCACTCGAGTAACTACTCAAATCTTTATTATCTGGGGCTCTATCCAAATTCATTTGTTTAAACTTTATTTTACTCATCATCATATTTAACTCACCAATCCTCTTATTCTCCTTTCAACCTTAATCTTCATTTCCTTACTTTTAAAGGAATCTATGATAATATCGGGTATTATATAATCCGACATATAATTAAGCAAAATAATGACCTTATACGTTTCAGACATCTTCTCATTATAGTTAACAATATCTTGAATAAGTTTGTTGAAAATATCCAGATTATCATCAACATCCTTTGAAGATTCATTTTAAAATCGAAAAATCTTTCAAACAATTACAATTTATTAAGAGTAGATTTAAGCATAAGTCCTTCATCTTTTGTCAAAGTTCTTTTATAGAATCAAAATTTTCAACTTTTCTCAAAATAGTATTAGACTGAAATAAAATAATTGAAGTGTAAACAAGTTCATCATATTTTTTTTTTGAGTAATGCTATTCATAGTTGCTCATTGCGGTAGTCGCTCTACGTGGCATCCTACACGATGGTTTGTAATTTGATGTATTAATGTGATAATTTTTTCTTGTTATGTAAATTTAATTACTAATCACTACATGTGTGCCACGTAAGGCTACTGCGGTAATAAGTAACTGCAAATAACATTATTATTCTTTTGTGTTTCTATCAAATTTGCAAGAAATTTACTATCTATGACTTTTTAAACTTTTTGTTGAACTAAAATTCCCTTCATCTTTTGTTACCAAATTAAACAATTTTCCTTTCCATTAAAAATTCCAATTTTGAAATGTGAAGACATTTGAAAAAGACATAACAACTAAAATCCACAACAAGGTCACACAAAGTAATCCTAAGGCCGTAGTATACACCGTTCTAAATTCCAAATGTTTCGTGAGATTCGAGATCTCAGTATCAAGGGAATGTTCAAACGAGTCAAATCTAGGTGTTCTAACAAAATAATCAATGCAACACGAAAGTATATCAACAAAAATTCAAATTCTCACGTAATGCAATATCGCATAGTGGCTGGACGACAATTAGAGTACAAAATCAATTACCAACTTATAGTCAAATTAAACACTTCAAATAGAACAAATAATTCCTAAATTTTTAGTACAAACAATGGTTACTCCACATGATAACCCTAATCCTAATATCATCCCATACAATGACGAGTTAATATCAAAATTTAAATTGAAATAAGTCAATATCATAATGGTCCAATTTTTGTCTAAAAATTATGAGAGATATGAATTCATCACTTTAGGACCACTACTATTTATCCTAAAGTTTACAGCAACTGCAGTAACCAATCAACCACGATCAGACCCTGATCGTACGAAGAACAAATACGTCCAAATTCCACTGTATAACACCCGAAACAAAAATTAAAAACACCAAAATGTTAGAAATTATGTCAGGAACGGACTGTCAGTAGAAGCCTTTGAATTTCTTCTTGCTCGCTGCCAAGCGCAGCTAACAATTTTTGCGTGAGTCGGTTTTCAGGGGAAAAATAGCCATGTTTTCTTCTTTTTCTCACACAAAGCATGCATTTAAATGGCTAGGGTAGAAACAACATATATGTAGAATTAGGCTAGGCGTTAGTTCGATCAATAATAAGGTTAAATGGACTAAGATTCAAAGTAATCCAAAAGATGATATATATAGGCAATGAGTAGCATGAATTTTTTGAGCTACACCTTTGGACTTGATTGTTAGTAATTAATTCACCATTGGTTGATGCCCGTGAAATCATATCCTGACGTTTACATGGGGTATCAAAAACTAACAGTTACCACATTAGCAATTTATTTATTTTTTTAAAATAATATTATTCATAGTCAACGACTACAAAGTCATCATATGTGTTCGTTTGACATTAGCATGTTATTTGAAATAATAAAATTACATAAAATTAATGTATCAAATAACAAACCGTCACATAGGACGGCTACTATAATTACTCTATACTTTTATCCCAATAGCTAACATACATTGCCACATCAATCGTGGGAATGAGATCATTTGTACTTAGTAGAGATCCATCATATTCAAGAGATGACACTGACTCGAAAAAGTTCTCTATTCAATATATCTGATATATTTACAAAAAATTAAAAAATATAGAAGAGAGAGAAGAACTCCAAGGTACAATCTCTGATGCACACGGCTCAACCTAACGTTGTCTTATACTTCCAATAATTCCCAAAACATAATTGCACTGGAATAAACAGAATACAAGGTTTTGTGAGATAGATACAAAAATGTCGGACGAGGAGCACCATTTCGAGTCAAAGGCAGATGCCGGAGCCTCCAAGACCTACCCACAGCAAGCTGGAACCATCCGCAAGAATGGTTACATCGTCATCAAAGGCCGCCCTTGCAAGGTATATATAGATTCTTGCGATTCCATATTAAAAATTTCAAGAATACAGTCCTGATGCTTTTGTATTTCTACGAGGTTTGATTTTAGTGTTAAGAGTATATTAATTCATTCTTATTGTAACTACATGTATATGTAAGTGGTTATGCATATTTATTAGTGCGTGTTTATTTTAATTTTTTTCCGTGTATTTCTTTTCTTGGAATTGATACAGACGAATTTGTTTGTTGATTTCTGGATGTGTCGATTAAATTGTGACATGTTGGAATTTGGGTTTTTTTTTTTTTTAACCTATGAGCTTGGATCTAACTACAATGATAAATCTTTGTGTTATTGCTGCTGTTGTTGTTTTTTTTCCTTCGTCTCAAGGGTAAATGGCTCGTTTGGCTTTGGTTTTGGGGTATGATACGATTATATGGATCAGCTTTTGTTGTAAACATTTCTTTTGATTTATATAGGTGTGGGATCAGATACGTGGAGAAATTCAAGAATTTTTAATTTGGTCTTCCCTAATTCTAATTTCAAAACCTAGTTCATTCAAAAGCTCTTTTACGGGAATAATGAAATATGTTTGATCGCATTGGTTTAAATATTAGGGAAGTTGATTTCACATATGTTGTCAGAAATATTTAAGACTCAGTTTTTGATGGATAAAAATGGTTATTAACATGTGTTGTTGAGTCGTACTTTGCAACTGACAGTAAGAAGACAATGGAAGGTGGGGGAGATGGAGGAGTGAATAGATTGCATGGGATCTGTTGTGATTTCAGTCGCCGTTACTAGAAAGTGAGTTGTTGTTAAGGTGTGGCTTTCTATGCTGAGTGTGGAGTATTTGCACCTGTTAAGTTGGAATTCTGGAGCTAATGCAGCTGTGGGCACGTATGGAGAGCGAGATGAGAATAATGTTTTCCTTCGTTCACTCTTTCACATAAACTAAAAAGTTACATCTAATTACTATATGGTGGTTTGGGTAATCTAGTATTTTCTTGTCCAGCTGCTTTTTTAGTGGCCATTTTGCATTTTTTGTTGTCTGGGTTCTTCTTCTTCTTCCTTTTTTAATTTTTTTAAAATTTCCGCCTTTCTGGTCTAAAGTAAGTGTTTCTTTTTTACAGGTGGTTGAAGTTTCAACATCAAAAACTGGCAAGCATGGTCATGCTAAATGCCACTTTGTTGCCATTGATATATTCACTGCTAAGAAGCTGGAAGATATTGTCCCATCTTCCCATAACTGTGATGTATGTTTGTATTTAATGAACTCAATCATTTTAGCTTTTTTTGTCACGGTTCAACCTTTTTATGCTGCTTTCTTATCTTTAATTTTACAGGTTCCACATGTCAATCGTACTGACTACCAGCTTATTGATATTTCTGAGGATGGATTTGTATGTCTAGTCTCTTAACATATGTTTAGGAGTGTGTATGTGTACTTTACTATCTCAGTTCTTGATATATGGTAGGTGAGTTTGCTGACTGAAAATGGCAACACCAAGGATGATCTGAGGCTGCCAACTGATGACAACCTTCTAACCCAGGTACCCTTCAAGGCTCCATCCCTTTTGCAGGATTTGCCTCTCTTAGATTCTTTATTTACAGAATCAAATCAACAGTATAAATTGGCATGCTTCTTGTTATTATACCCTACGTGAGTATGTTATGAGTGGGAAAAAGAGAAGAAATGTCCGCCAACATGTTCTTGATCATATTTCAAGGAAAGTGTATTTTGTTAGTGATATATGTGTGCCAAGACAGAACAAGATTGCAGGTATCTACTGTAATTTTTGTTTTGCCATATGAAAATTATTTTCATTGGTTGTGCTGTTAAAATGATCAGATCGTTAGGAAAACCTTAACATGGCGCTGAAAGACTGCGAATGAAAATTCAATGATTTACCTTATTTGTTTTTTTTTCTCCTTAGTTCATGTAATCACTACCTTTCTATTTAACTGTTGATTTGAAATGGGAAGGGATTCACTGTGAGTTCGTTGCATCTTTAAAATTAAAAGCATGTGCCGACACTCTCCTGTTTCCCTATCAGTATTGTCATGTTTGCCTTCTTGATGATGGCCAATTTGTTTCAGTATTGTCATGTTTACCTTCTTGATGACGGCCAATTTGTACTTGACATATAATAATCGGTTGTTTGTCAACTTATAATGAGTGCAGATCAAGGATGGTTTTGCTGAGGGGAAGGACCTGGTCGTGAGTGTGATGTCTGCAATGGGAGAAGAGCAGATATGTGGTCTCAAGGATATTGGCCCCAAGTAGTTGGCTTTCGTTCTGCAAACTGCTTTTACGATGACAACCAAAAGCTATATTATAGAACTATTTTACCATCTTTTATATTTTCAACCCCGTTATGCCAAGTTTGTTTGGCGACTGTGTAAGGGTCTCTGGATTCTTAGACAAAAACCTTGTGTCTGGCATCCTAGTATGCTATGGATTTTACTGGCTTTAAACTTATCTACCTTTATATGCTTCAATGGATATCTAATGTTATGCTCTGGAAACTTAAAGACACTCTTCTATGTCATGTCGTACATTCACTTTACTTGCATTCGTTTGGATTAGTTTAATGCTTTAGACGACTGAGGACTTTGATCGGTCTAAAGAGTCGGGCTATGCTGATGCAAATGAATTGAGAATCAGAGACTACCCTGTTCAGAGAAAAACTTCGGTATAGGACGGTGCGACCGACGAATGGGAAGTCACCACCCCGTTCCACCCTCATCAATGATAATTGCGCCATGGAGTGCCAAATTAGGCTCTTTTATGTCGAGGGTGGGATATTCAAACTAGATTGGTCTGAAACAAGAGCCATACCAATATATGATGATTCCAGTTACATACTGTACTTCAATCTCCAATTTGGATAATTTTGTTGGGTTGTTAATACCAAGTGACTCTACATGTTAAAAGCAAAATATAGGTATATCTCAACCACCATCGTTGTGCCATGCTTTTACAGTTGAGTCGATAGGTTGAATTAGGATATCTTATGTTGAATGTAGCACAGCTCAAACTAGTTTGATTTGAAATTGAACCGTACTTATATAAGGCGGTTCCATTTATCTTCTACTTCAATCTCTATTCGAGCTCTGGTTTTTTAGAATAAATTTTGTAATATATAATTTTTTAAAGAATGTACGAATAGAAAGTGAGAAAATAATTAAATTCACGTGCAAAATTATTTTAATCAAAAAATGTATAATTGCAAAATGAATTTTGCAAAAAAAAAAAAAAAAAAAGGTTTTAAAGAATGCCTCGAACATGGGTAATTGATTGCCCAATAGAAACTAGGGTTGTAACCCGAAACCTCAAGTCTAAACTCCAATTTGGTGTACACACGAGAGAGATGAGCTCAGGCTCAGGTTCTTCGTCGCCTAGGCGCACTCGTGTGGAGAAAGAAAACGAGAGGCCTAGAGCCTTTGATTCCAAGGCGAAGGGCTGCTGGGCCAATGCAGATATTGTTCCTGGCCACCACCCATAGCGCTGGCGTAAAGATGCTGCAGGAAATGAGTCTGCAGGCGTTCCATATAGTCCCATTTTCAAAAGGTTTCTCCTCTTCTCATCGTATAAAAGTGTGTGCTTTATGACTTGATTTCAATCAATTGTATAAATGCATTTGAAAAGCTGGTAGGAAAGAATTTAATGCTTTCTAGTTATTTTTGGGTTTTTTTTTTTAGCTACTAGCTCCTTTGATTTATCGTAGAAAAGTTAGCAAGGTTTTGTTTATTTTGCGGCAAGTGCGGATTTTAGTGCAAGGGTTATTTGTAAGATTAGATTACAAGGTGTAGGCGTATAAAGACAGGGAGCGCCCAAAAAATCTGCTTCGGGCTTGTAGTCATCAGATAGCATTTCTATAAATCCGGAAGTTGATGCTTTCTATATTTCTTTTGTTGGGATTTTGCGGGTAATGTTGAAAGTTTTGTGCTTTTGTTGTCATTGAATTTTGAGTTATTTGATAATTAAATTATGTATAGGAATGGTTGGGTGCTGCAGGTGGGGAATCAGTGGCGGAAAATTGCCAGATTCTTCTAACAAGGGCGAACAGGTTCAAAGCCAACAAGGAGGAAGTTGATACAGCTGAGTTGAAAGGGTACTATTGTGACATCAATTTCACAGGTATTCATAACTTTCTATCGATGATTTTCATGTTGTTTTCTTCTAGCTAGTCTTGTCAATGCTTTAAATTATGGGTTCTTAACATTTATGTTTGATAATGCTACATAATAAAAATGACTCATGTTCTGGTGTATCCTCGAATGGTTGCTTTCTAGGTGTTGCTTCTTTAAGTCAGATTGAAGACTGATTTTAGGATTATTTGATCTTTTTCTCAAGAATCCATTAAAGCTTTATGTAAATAACATTGCTAATTGTTAGAAGTTTTCACATCATATAGTGTCTCTTCTATTGGGCAATGTCCATAACTGAACTGATTACTAAAATGATATTTTTCTTGAGGCTAGATACCAAAAGAAATGGAAATAAAATAAATGAAACTACATTTCTGGTCTTAATCTCATTGGATTTGTCTTTTCAAGGATAGTCTAGTCTCCTAAGGCCTAAATATATATTCAATGTCATCTTGGAGAATTCTCCAGATATGTGGTGGCCAGAGAATTACATCTTCTGTTGTTTGACGAACCTAGTTCGCATGATAAGTAGTTGTTGTTCAAGAATTCTGGATTGCTGTATTTTTGGCACTATTGCTGTAGCATTATGCCAGTATTAACCACTGATGTTATCGGAGTTAACTCTTGAATATACGATCAATCGCTATTCTGAACTCTGACATATGAATGACAAGAGCTTACCCCCATTCTCTCTTTCGCTGCTGGAGGGGGTTTGTGTTCTTTTCCTTATTGTCATTATTTTTTACTGGGGATAGGAGTGGATCACATGATACCAAACCCGGAGCTTAAAGGGTCTGCTGAGCTACACAGTCATTCCATTATTTAGTAAGCAAGCTTAAAAAATCCAAATGACACCTGAAGCTTGCTCGCTACTTGGAAGCGATGTTTCTATTTTCTAGCGAAGGAAATATCTTAAGACATGTTTTCTCTTTGGCATTTCAGACAAGGAGCTTGACATTATTGAAATGGCTGTTTATGGGGATGTCATCCATCCTGGGAACCGTTGTCGTTGCATGACTGTTGCTGAAATGTTTGGTAAATATAAGTCCAAAGATAGTACCAGTTCCTGCCAGTTGCCATGAAGTGATGATGAGTCCTTGTAGCATTGAAGAACTAAAGCACAAGGCTTGGACTGCAACTGAGCCTTTTTGGTGGAACTGCCTAAACCGAGAACTCAATTTACGATTCATATCTTATTGTTCTGTATAGGCATTGATTTGATCAAAACTGATTCATCATATGCATTATGCAATCATGTTATTGATATAGCGAAGTTATGATTGTGGAAGCTATAGTGAAGATTTTGCAATTGCATAAAGTCTTATTTTAACTTGAAAATTTTCTTTCGGTTCTAATATAACTGAAGACAAGAAAAAATGTTAGTTCTAATCTTTAAGAGAAGAGCATGTTTTGTGTCCTTTGATTCAATCCGTCCATCTGACTTGGTTGAGGAAACTCGAGACCAAATGGAATCATTGAGCAGAATATGACTCGATGGTCGATAGGTTGTCAAAGGCTCTCTAATTAGACTGATTATCATGTTATGAAAATTAAATGCCAATATGCCAGATTAAGACTAGCGTTTTAAGATATCATGGTCCATGTATATCCTTGGTCCCTTCTCTTTGCCTCACATGATATATGAACTAAATTCTTGACGGGGTTAATGTGACATGATGAAATTAGGTAATCTCTTCGACTACATCATTGATGGAATTCTGTAGCAATCTACGCAAATGGTCAATAGGGATATAATCATGGGCTAACCATGGACATTGGTTGATGATCTCTACTGCAATGAAGTAAAAGGAGAGATTTGTGGAATCGGAAGACGAAACTGGAGAACACACATGAAAAGCGAGTAGTGCAGGAGAAAATAATACAAATGAGTTTTATTTTCTACTGTGAAAAATGTAATATTTCAAGAATAAGATTTTCCCCAATGCTTTTGAAATTCCTACCATATTGTTAGCAACTTTTTGGTCTGACGACCTCAAAATCTGGTCAGAGCTTGCAATCAACAAAATGCTTTAGCAGGACTTGATAACACCCATGAGAGTGGTTTGGAATCTCTTTTTAGGATTATTCTGTCTACACTTTATGGTGTACACAATAGATTACACCCCCTCACAAGGATGGAAGTCCACAAATATTTTATTATATGTGGGCTCCCTCCATGTGAGAGGGGTGTAATGCTTTGTGTACACATAGCACAATCTCTCTTTTTATACCTTGGTGTGGGAGTATTTCATTATGTAATATAGATAAATATCCAAATTGATTAGCAAAGTAAAAGAGAAACATTTAATGTATCCAAATTGATTGGCAAAACATTCAATGGTTGTGATTAAATGCTTCAGAAAAGTGATTTTCTATTTGAATGGAGGCACTTTTGGAGAATATTTTAGGAAGATGAGCACCTTAAAGAACCTGAAAAGCCAAGGGAATGCAATTCCTCCCCTTTGGCATAATGTGGATTCAGCTTTTAAAATAACAAAAAGGTTTAAAAATATGAGTTTCTCTAATATCTCTCAAGTTACACTTTTAACGCTCCCTTTTTAAGGAAAAGTTTAAAATGTAATAACAATGCTATATGCTCATAATCCCAACCATAAGTATCAGCCTTAAATTTTCATCATACCATAGGAAATTTCATTCATACATCTCCCTCGTGCATACAAAGGCTTTGGTTCTAAACCTACAAATCTAGCATGGCGAAAAAGCATTCTAGTTGTTGCTTTTATTCAAGAATTTCTCTCCCTCCTCATCATGTTCTAGTGCAGTCTGATTCTGTTTTGGGAGACTTCAGAGACAAGTCGAATCGCTGTGACAAAGTTACAGAATTCGCCTGTGCATGCCTCTTATGTTTGTGCTGTCCATTGTCTATGGTTTGGTGTTGTGTCAAAACGTCTTGCAAGAAAGGGCGCTGTTTGGCTGTGAAAGCAATGCATAGGGCTTGTTGCAGACTAGATAAAAGAATATATGCTGAGTATTCATCGTTTTCAGACATTGATACAGATTATCAGGCGAGTAAACGGCATATACTTTCCTAAATTCCTGTTCCTGTGAAGAACAGGTGAATTTATGTTGTAGATGTCTAAATAATAAGCTTGTTCTTCTTTTACCAGTGAACTTTTTCCCAGAATCTCAATTATTGACACACAAACAATGTTTCATCTGACATGAAACAAATACCTTTATGCTTCATATAGTAGGAACACTGTCGTCAAGGGAAACAACAACACAGAAGAACCAGGGTCTCATTAAAAACCTAGAAGAAGGTTGAACTGGTTGTGTAAAATGTTGACCAAATTTAATTTTGATGACTTCTTGCAAGATGCAGTGGACAAACTATCGTTTTTAAAATGTAAATGGAAATTGCAGAAAACAGATAAGATTTTAACTTTTTCCTGTTTAGTATTGACTCAAACTCAATGACCATACACTGAATATGATTATGCCATTCACACTAAGGCCCATAATCATTTTTTTTTTTTTTAATCAATCTATTTTTATGTTATTTCATACTGTACAATTCTTTTCTTTGTGGGATCATTTTCCCACGAGATATGACAATGTTTAAGTAGGAAAAGTATTATTAGGTGGCCAGATTATATTTTATCCTCTCGAAAGAAGCTAGTTTGATCCAAAGGGAAACATTGGAGATGTAGCTCTTTATGGGGTGCAGTAGAATTATTTTATGTCCACAATTCAGGTGCTAAAGAAGAGATACGAGATGGAACTTATGAAGCAATTGACTTAAATATATGATTTCGATGTTATCATGGAAGAGAACACGAATCTACTTTGATCTTTCAAAACAAATGAACGGTCCTACTCAAAATTATTCCAAAACAGCGTCATTTACAAGTCATTTTCCAACAGGTAGCACTCTGTACCACAAGTACTCTGGCTTAAATAAACTTTGCTAAAATTCTTTCACTACATACATCGTCATCTCTCTCTAAATTCGCTGAAGAACGTGGACCATAACATGTTTGACACTACATGACACTTTTATAGTAACACTGTTGAATTTTTTTCTCATTTGTTGAATGGCTAGAGTAGCATTTTCCCACACAAATTGCCGTGATGTGTTTAGCCAATAACCCACAGAAGTTGCTCACTTACCACATTCAGGGCATGTTTGCATTTAATATAAAGGGACAATCTGAAACAGCTATTGGATGAACTAAACAGTTAATTATGTCAAAAAGGCTCATTGGATTTTCACTATCTTTTTTCCGTAAAGATGGATGAATTCTTCTTCTGAGGATTCATTAGGAGAGACTGATGGCGGACGAGGGTGGTGCTAGTTATCCACCACAACCTGCACCACAGCCGGCTTCGCAAGTGCTTCCATAGACGCCCGAATCTGTGGCTGCATCTTTGTCTTGCGGTACTGCACCATCTGCGCATGTTGTGATAACTACTAATATGATGAAAATGGTACCGAAAACTACACAAAGGACTTGAAAAAGATTGATGCAAAAACTGGCACGTCCATCCACATCTATCAATTCTTTCCATTCCCGCACCATTTGTCTCTCTTTAATTATATCTTCGCAGCGAGAACCTTGATTGAATGTGTAGGACGAGAAATCTTGTTTACGATTTAGCACCCCAAGTGGTATACAGCCTCCTATCTTATAGTTGCTTGAAAGGCCAATTTTACATTAATAGTTAAAGGACCTTTCTCTCTTGTTTCTTTTATAAGGGCAGTCAGCATGGGACAAATTTGATGATTCTAATGTTTTTATTTTAATATTGGCAGCAGACTTTAGTGATAAGTGTTGACACGAACTTTCAATGGATCAACATTGCCACCATAAATTTGGTAGTTGGCCTTCAGATACCCCTCTTCGTTAATACGATGATGAAATTACAATGTATATTTATAAGGATTTGGGTTATTCATTTTAACTAGGTTAAGATTTTAAGATGAACCTCAAATACCATATAATAGAAAAGTGTAGTACACGGCTTATTGAAAGAATAACGTAACTCAAAGATCTCGTTCTTTTTCTGCATAGGATCTTTTCACCTTCACCAAAGGGCAAGTATATAGCTAGAGGAGTCCTTCGTTTCTTACAAGGGAGCTTTAATCCGACCAAATTAGTGTGTAAAGGCTATTTTCATTTAGTAGAACTCGATGTGTTTCTGACATTGGGGATGATAGATTTTTATAAGTGATTAGACTACTCCATCTCATAGGTCGACATTTTGGAATGTAACCTTAATTTTCTTACAATAGTGTATTAGTATTAGACTCCAAACTTGATCGTGTGAATGTGCAGACTGATCAAAATGATATGATATAATTCATTCGAAGAGGAATCATTGAGAACGTGGAAAATGAGTATAGATACTCATCGAATCATTCCATATTATACAAAACAGTGTGATTTTTAAATTGTTCAAAGAATTTGCATTTCCTTGACCATAAAAATAGACCAACAACTACCCACTAAGTTTATTTTTAATAGTTACACCATTTCATTGAGCAAAAACAATCAATTACACATTTGGTGACGAGGATCATAATGATTGTACAGAAATCAAAAGGACAAATTGCACCATTTTTTCCACAACCATTAGTCCTTCAACTATCATTATAGCTGCACACAATTAATTTAAAAATACAAAAATTATCAAAATCTACATTAAATCATGATGTGATCTTCCCTTGTCAAACATCATTAAGATACTATGCCCTTGTTTGATTTTCAATTTTTTTAAAATACATTTATCCCTCTCTCTCAATCAGATATCCTTCAATAAAATAATATAATACGCAAACTTAACACTTTTTTTTTATTTTCTAACTACACATTTTTTATCAATTTACTATCTCAAAATACATTTTAACCAAAAAAAAATGGGCTCAAACATGCTCATATTTTGTTTTATAGCTTTGGTTAGTGGTCCAAATTAGAAGTGATTCATATTTTTACGAGTGATGAGTGAAAATTCAATGAAAATTTAGTCTAATCCTCTTGCTAGGAATAATTATGAAACTTTATTCAAAGTTTGAGATCGACTTATTTTTAAAAGTTGGAAACTAACTTAGTGCTCGAATAATAGACTAAAAACGAATAGTGCCATATTTCCTAAATTCCAAATACATTGACCATACTGATAAGAGTGGCATATTGCCAAACCATACACAAGAATTATTGCAAAAAAGTATCATATCAATATCACCGAAAGGCATAGCATTCAAATGAATAATAAAAATATAAAACGACAATTTGTCGGTCCAATCTCTTGTGTGCAAATGTGTGAACATCAGAGGACACATTTGACATTATAATGCTTTCACATTGTGTACAATCATAAAAATTTGATAAGTAATTTTGTGAAATTTTTTTTTTTTTTTTTTAAAGAAGTGTGATTTAAAACAAATAAGAAATTACGTCCAAGTGAATTGAAATTATTTTAAACTCTTTTATAATCAAACAAGTTTTATATTATATACCCAAAGGTTGAATTCAAAATAATTTTTGCTATCAATTAGTTCTCGTCTTCAAAGAATACCATCCCTAAATTTAAGTAAATAATCGTATTAACCTTCCTCACAAAACTCTAGGGGCGGAACGGTGAGGACCCTAAAAATTGAGGTTCAACCTAAGTAAATAGTCGTATTCTTTTAACTCAAATTTAACCGACACCATACCTCAAATTTCAAAAAGTTTCTGCAAGATTTCAATTCATTTTACTTTATACTTTTTTTGGCCCTATTTGACGTGTATTAAATCATATCAAAATCCAATTTTTTGCTAGAGAATCCCACTAGAATTATCATACACTGCCACGTGTTTTTTAGCAACTAAATACATGTTCGGAAGTTGTTTTTGAGTCGTAAATAAGTGAGTAATACTTATAAATTCCACGAATTATGTAGATAAAAGTGATTTGGTCAATTATAAATAGTAGCCAAACAAGGACTAGAGCTTTTTAATGAGAAAAGATCTCGATTCAAGTGTCCACCCCTTTGAAAAATTGTGAAGAGAGCAGCAAAGTTATTTGTCTTGCCCCGATTTCCCATAACAAATAACAATAAAATGGAACTCTAGAAAAAATTGTGGCTCACCTACCAGCTAACACAATACATAAATTCCTGTACATTTCCTCTACCTCTCTATAAATAGAACTAAACTTTTTCACTCAACCACAAAACCATTGACTCTTTCTTCATACCTTTTGAGCTAATTCCACAAGTTTTAGATAGAAAAAAAAAATGCAGGCATCTAAAGTTGCAGTGTTTTCAATGGTACTTGTGCTTCTGGTCTGTGGAGCACAATTTTCAGAGAGTGCAACGTGCACCCCAACTGCACTCAGCCCTTGCATGTCTGCCATCTCGTCAGGAACTCCCCCGTCGAAACTGTGCTGCAGTAAGATCAAGGAGCAGCAGCCTTGCCTTTGCCAGTATCTCAAGGATCCCAATTTAAGGAAGTTTGTTAACTCTCCAAATGCAAAGAAAATTGCTTCCACTTGTGGGGTTCCTCAGCCCAAATGTAAATGATTTTCAAGGCCCTTATTTCCAATTTCCATAAAGAGTGAGTAAATGAGAATAACGGTGCAACTTTTGTTTGTCTACCTAACTAGCTGCACTATCGAATAAGTCTAGGTATTGACTGGTTCAGTCTTACTGAACTGGGGTGCTCAAGATTTGTACTGAATGTACTAATATTTCTATTATAATCGAGACAAATTGAAATGGGATTTTCTATTTGTAAATGGGATTTTCTATTTGTTCTTTCTATATTTTCTCAACCTTACAATTCATTGGAGAATGTAATAATTGATGATACCAAAAATAGACAAGCAATATTAACCTCCCACGGTTAATTACTCACATAATCTTCTCCATAATCAGGTGATTATTAAATACACTTATGCTTGGTCGGACAATGTCCAAATTAAATCTATCCAGCAAAGATAATGGAGCTACTCTCGATATCCTATTGAAAGAACTTGGTAGAAACTTTCTAGTAAACCAAGAGAAAAATATTACCAGTATTCCTATTATACAAGCAATTGCTTCCCCTCCTCATCTTCTTCAACAAATCAATAGTCACTTGTGTTCTAGCAAATTTGGCTGGATGAATTCTATCTTTTGACAAGTCAACCAAAACAAACTTTTATTGGAATTAATTTCTCCTCCAGAATTCCATGCTAACAAATTTAGGAAAGTAATGGTCATATGAACAATATGTAGCCTTGCAGACTATCTTGAACAATGGCAACTATTTGTTGTTGGACACAATTTCGGTTTCGAGCTGACAATCTATTTCAAACCACTGATGTATCTTGATTAGGGGCTTCATTTGCTTGTCATATCGACTGCAACCGACTGTGCCCGTAAATCGTAGGCCTCCACTCATGTTTTTGTTGAGTTCATTAGGTAACTGTAGATTGTTTGAAAAATTGAACAAAGGGATGCATGCTTCTGGTTTGAATGAATTGGCTAGTAAGCGACATTCTACCTCATTCATATTTATTTTCAATCAAACTTTAGAACATTCTCAAGATACCTTATGATGAAGTGTACAAGGGATTATAGTTTATGATGAAATGAGACCGTCGCAAGGCATAAAAGTGTGATTTTTGATTTCATGATAATTTTGAGTTTGTTCGTTTTTGGCGAATTGCTAGTCTAACTCGATTGGAATCGAGCCAATGAATAAAACTCAGTGCCTTTGGCCTTGACGCAAGGTCAATTTTGGACAAAATCCATCGTTTAGGTGTTTTTGCTATTTATGATAAATTTTGTTTTCGCAATATCTTTTTCCATAAAATTCGGATTTATATTCCGTTTGTTGGAGGATGATCTTGAAGATAAGAATTTTTCATCTTAGTAGTTATCTCATATTTTTCTATTTTTGGAAAAATATCTTTTTATTCTATTTTTCGAATTTTTCTTGATTTTTTTTCTATTTAAGGCGTTGTAAGTCCTTGGAGGTGACAATTCTGAAATTCAATAAAATTTTCCTTGAGAGTTTTCTCATTTTGTGATTGTTCATCTTTCCTATAATCTTCCGCTACGGCACCTACGTTTTAAGTTTGGAGATTAAAAATTTTCACACACTCAACAATGGATTTGTAACTTACTATATGCATCCAGTTTGAAGCGATATGTCATAATCGATAACTTGATCGTAAAGGTGCATACAGGTTATTGGAGTTCCACACCATTTTTCACAATGGTAACAATTCCTTTTAAGTTGGGGTTTAAGCCTGCGAAGGCAGTGAGTAACAAGGTTTGAGTATCAAAAACTCAAGTTGAAGAAAGTGTGTAATTAAGTTAGCTTTCAAGAGAAGATTAATAGTCGGAAAAGAGATAACTATCAAATATATGCTTATGGATAATGGCTACCAAAAGAATGCACATTATCAAGGGAACATACTTGTCACTAGCCATGCTTAAGTCAATTCAACTTCTCTCATTCACTATGACGTGTTTCTCCACAACATATAGCAAACGGATGTCAAGTTGGAATTCTTAAATGACCATGTTGGAAAATATGGATAATGGGTCGTCCATGTGGGGTAACCCGACCTGCAGGATTTTAAAAGGGTTGGAGGGAGTGATTTGAATTTAGAATTCAAACCCATAAATTCCAAGTAACCACTTGAAACTTTCATATAAAAGTTATGGAAAAGAGGGAAAAAATGCAAGACATGAGAAAAATGGTGAAAATTCGTATGGAAATTCACACCAAAATTAAAAAGTCCTTAGAACCATATTTTTGGCATAAAATCTCACAAAAAATGGCACTTAAATTGAGGATAATAATCACCTTCCATTGTGATCATGATTGGCACCATTGGAGAACAAGAAAATGTAGATTTTGGAACTTTAGAATGCAAGGTGATTCAATCATACAAAAAGATCTTGGAATTCATTATTTCAAGTAAGTTTTTTGACCCGAAATTCATGTCAAAGCATGCTGTGAATTCCTACATTGGTATCATAGCTGAAAGGTTGAATTCCACATGATAGAATTGGGTGATGAATCTTGTATGCAAAGTTTTGAAACCTTATGTGGTATTTAGTGGCATCATTTGATAATTTATTGCCATTTGTTCGTTCATCTTCATGCAGTAAGATTAGTGTGGTTAGAAAGGTATTCTCATAAGCTTTCCAACCACATAAAGAACTCAAAATTTGGACTTAAAACGAAGAAGTTGTGAGTTTTTGAAATTTGGATGATAATCTGAATTTTATGCATGAAACTTGATAAAATCCTGAAATTCATCACGTGATAACTTTTTGTACATTAAGTTTCATGTAGTCAATTTGGTATGGTTGGATAGATCTTCTCGAGACCTTTCTAACAATTTAAAGATAATTAATTTTGGAATTGAGACGAGAAAGTATACCCTCCCAAAGTTTAGATGAAAATCTGTTTTTTTTAGTGAAAAATTTGTAAAATTAGAAACTTCATCAGATGATAACTTCTTTCACATTGTGTTTCATGATGCCCAATTGATATGGTTGGATAGATCTCCTTGATACCTTTCCAACAATATAAAGAACATAAATTTTGGCCTTGGGATGAAGAAGTTATGGCCCCTCGAAATATTGATAAAAAAATCTGAAAATTATGTATGTTTTTTTTTTTAAAAGATGAACAATACTTTTTTCCCATTTTTTAGTCTCGATCGGATCTGTTTAGGTCCAGGACACAATCTAAAAAGTTGATATTATGAAATCTGACCACACAGATAAACTCAAAACGTTAAAATTGATTAGAGAGACGAATTAACGAATTTTTTTCATTGAATAAGCGCCGCGGATTGGCGCGTAGTAGGTGTTCAATGCCCTTTTTTTATTAAAAAAAAAAGGTTAAAAGTTGGAATGTCAAATAAAATTACCATTTGACTTTTTCAAATGAATTTTAGAAAATTACAAATTGGTCCTTCAAATATTCTTGATTTTTATGTGCAATTAAAATTAATTTTCAAATAATCAAAAATATTTTTTTAGACTCGATTAAATTCTAAATTTTTTATAAAAATCGAGAATGTTTGTTAAGCAGTATTTGCCTAATAGGAGTTATTTTTTTTGAAGTGTTTTATTTTTAAATGAAAAATACTCCGAAAGTATTCAAAATACCGCATTATATATACATTCACGAGTTTTGTAGACCTTAATTAGATTATGTGATTATTGTGACTTGTTTTCAAATTTTTGTGCTTGATCAAATATGGCTAGATCTGTGCACATTTATAGCATCCTTAGAAGGAATGCTAGAAAATCAAAGGCTATGAAACTTATTGAAATGTTCCATACTTATCGATATAAATGAATGGATCTGGAACATGACCTATTGTGGAACACGTAAATATTTTGGGGTATAAGTTTTTGATGACAAGTAGAATATAATAATTCTAATATCACTTCCCAGTTATTAGGACTGTGTTGCGACCGTGATTTAGATGGGATTGAGAATTTATAAAATAAAACTTAAACGATGTTAGTTTTATTTTTGAATTATAATTGAAGTTATCTTCTGAAAGAATTAATTTGTTATATCATGATGCATGTTATGATTGGATAAATGTGCATATTTATATTTTTATTGCATATTATGAAATTATCTAATTGAATACATCATGTATTATTATAAATGCTAAGGTCAGTAGAATTAGTGAGATTCTCACTTAGACCTATTGATTGTCAGTTAAGTGATAGTTCGGTGATTGGAGAATTTAGAGAAAATCTCACCAAAAACTATTTGATTCATCAACTAAGTGGGAGTTCTGAAATTGGAAGAATTAATGTGATTCTTACTTAGAACCCATGGAATTTTGCATTATTAAATTAAGTTTATGATAGTGAAACGATAGTATTGCGGACGATGATTGGGAACATGGTGAACTTTCGACTCTGTGCCTAAGGTTGAACTATCGTAGATGTTAAATTGCATTAATGTAAAATTAAATATATGCATAAATGTGCATTGATTAAGAATAACATGTCTCTAAAAATTTGATAGATCATGACATCAAAATCTATAGAAGTTAACCTTAATAAAGGTGATAAACTAAATGCGATAACATTTGGCATGATAAGATTTTAAATGTACTAGAAGGACATGATGCTTTAGAGAGCATCAACCACGTAATAGAAGACCTTATATAGGTCATACTACTCTAGAGAATAAAAATCAGAATCGAACTTAGTCGAATACGAGAAAATGTGAATTTTAGTATTCGAGCATTTAAATTGTTAAGTTATGTTATAAATGATCTTTTTTTCTCAAATGTGACTTAGTTGGTGGTTAGCATAGTGTTAACATTTTCATTGGTCACATTAATTTTAGATGAGTAGTAAGTTCAAATTAGTCTTTTCTTAATATATTGAATTTTGAAAGTCATTGTGACTTACAAATTGAAGTGTCAATTTTTTCTATTGATACTACTCGCTATGTGAGTTAAAAGCGGTGTGACTTGATGTTACTAAGTCTCCAGGATTTGCTTGTGTAGCAATGTTCTAGCTTGCATAAGATTTTGAATTTTAAGCATTGAATGAGTTGGAACAAATGCGGGATAGATGTGGGGGACTGGTAAAGTGACCAAGACGAACTATCAAATAGTAAGTGAACGAAAGTGGTTTTGGTAGAGGATCAATGTTATAAAGGTTCAAGTGCTTCACCTATACGATTTGAATCTCTTAGCTCAAAAGTGGTTAAGCTAAAAGATATTGCACTTGAATATATTCCTCTTAGTGTTGTTTACGTGTCAACATTATACATATTGGATCTTATCTTGTATGGATAGTGGATTCAAAGGTTAGAAACCCACTTTATATGAGATCAAAAGGTATATTATTCTATTGTCGAGTTTTTGACTTGATACAAAGTAGATATATACAAATAATAAAGATGGAGTGGATGTTTATATGATTGATATGGGAATTTAATATTTCAAAGTGGAGAGACGGACCTCCTATTTGATATTAAGATAATATCAAAGACTCCACTAAATTTGATCTCAGTTATTGTTCTTCTAAGAGTGGTCTGTTACTCGAACTTTTGCGTGATATTTCTATTCGTACTCACAGTGATGATGTTTATTATGATTCTGGATATTTATGCAATTGTTTGAGGTTTTGAGTTGAGAAAACTATTCAAAACTGTAAAAGCTAAATTTTCATAGAATAAATCCATCCAAATTTCTTTGCGGACTGTGATTAAAAGAGATAGAAATGGAACTTTACTTTTTATTACATTTATAAATGGATTCACGCATTTCATATATGCCTCTGATTTTCTTAAATTGAAGATATTGTACTTGTTTAGATTTTTCTGAAGTCAAGTAGAAAATCAAATTGTTGAAGTGAAGACTTTGAGAATTATCTGATGTCATGAATCTCTATCACGAGATATTAATGATATATGCAATGAAATAGATAATCTAATGTGGGTTATCATAGACTCTTAATTGACTATATATGTTCTCGATAATAGTATGTTAAGAACATGAGGTGTCTCAATGACATACATGTAGTCAAAAAATGTACTTAAGTGAAATTTTTGGATGGATATCGAGTCATAAGATATGACATTTGACATTTTTTCCAATAAGGGAGAAAAAGATTGGAGAACATCGTTGAAATTGATATTATATGTATTGATAAATCAGTTTTGAATATATTAGAGATGTTTCAAACTTCTAATTCAAGTGAGAGTAATCTCTTTCCGAATTGGACTTATCTATCCAAGTGGGAGCCATATAAGAACTGTCTAATTTCAAGGATTCTTGGTTCCAAGTTGGATCTAAGAGCTAGTTCAAAAAATCAAAAGAGGAATTTCGAGAAAAGTGATGGAAGTCTATATATGGAGAATATAATTTCAACATAATCTGGGATATGGTGAAAATTCTATGCGGACATTATATTTATCGAAACATTCAGGTTCTTGAAAGTTAAGTGGGAGACTAGTGAGTCTCTGATAGATAAAACTCATTTTTAAAAAAAGGTTATACTCAATATCAGTATATTGAGTTGGGTAAATTTTTTCATAATAATGGGATTCGCTTCCATACATCAATGCTAGCTGTGATGGTATGTTTAAATTTAGAGCTACACCAAATCGACCTAGAGACTGTATTTCTATTCTCAATTGAGAAATGATTAAAGATGTCAACATTAATCGACTTTTAGATTACATGTTAAAGCCTTTTGTTTTGTATTGTGGTAACTTTACAGTTACACGCATGGCCAAATATAATCATCTCGACAACCGTACTTGAGTTTTTAACAGGGTTAAATCTCGTACAAGAATTTCGTCGTATGGACGAAAATTACTGTATTTGTATAAAAGGTCTGATGGTAGGTTGTAATACTAATATTGATATTGGTGACATTGGATTGGCTAAGCATGATAAGAAGTGTATAGAGACCAATTTGAAATGACTGTCGTCATTTTTTGAAACAAAAGACATGGGTTTATCAAATTGTATGATTTGTGCTAAGAATACTTTTCGTATGTTCTTGCTATATTATAAGAGTTTTATACTATAAATGCTCATGTGAAATTGCAACTGTGACCATATAAGTCTTCACAAATGTCCAAAGACTTCATAAGTGCACAAAGAAATATCCAGAGAATCATATCTAGTACGATTAAGAGTTAGGAGATAGAAGTATACTATGATATATACTTTTCCTAACAATGATCATGCCACGGATCTAATCAGTATGTATCAATATTATCTTTAGAAAATGCATTGTGATACCTGAAGGGTGCTGCTGTCAGTTATTCTATTTCGTTGTCAAAGGAATAACTTATGATTGGAATAGATATACAATTGTTGACTAAGAATGAGAGTTAGTCGAACACAATTAGTTATTTGACTTGTGCGCTTTTGCTATATAGAGTAGCAAGAAGCATATGTTGTTATGTATATCTTGGCAGTTAAAGAAATTGTTTGGTATAGATGTATTGAGCATCTAATGATACTAGTTGAGAATATGATATCCATGATAGTTACGCAATTATCTTATATGTTAAGATCTCAAGTATTAAAATAGAACCAAACAATTAATGGTAATTATGTGAGAAACATTAGCAAAAAAAAAATGTCTTTGCGATATATCTACGTAAATGATGATATGTAATCATCATACTCTGAAGATGTCTAGAGATACATTTGTTGATAATATGGAATCTCTAGAATTTCGTAGAATATGAGACAAACTCTTGATTGAGTTTTATGTGCCCATGGATGAACGATTTAAAGTTCATGTGTAATCTAATATTGGGATTACAAGATAAATGATTTGTATGCACATATAAAGTATGTCGAGCGGGTTGAAATTGGCTTACTCACACAAGCAATCGCCTCAGATATTTTAAGATGTGCTGAGATGAGACACAGGGATCATGTTGTATACATGATCTAGTCGCCTTGATAGTGTTCATTTTGTTTACATGATCTAGTCACTTTGATAAGGTATTAAGATGATATTACAGCAAGTAATCGAAATGAACTTCTCTATCCATTAAACCCGTTTAGTAGCTAGATCAAGTTCTCGATTTGAGAATGCCTGGAAGAATGAACATAAGGAGAACTCAAGTTAAGTATCGAGGAATACTTGAACTAGGATCTGTACGATGTTATTTGTTTACAAAGAATATGACATACACTCTAAGAAAGGAAGAAAACATCGTAGCACGTGTTTCATACCGCGTGTGCTTTTACGACCAATATTGGGTAAATGAGTGAATGGATCCCTGCTTCCTCATTGTATGAGACCCTAAGGTTTACGTAACCTCATATATATCTTTATAACTTTTGACTGTTTCTTGAGGTTTTATTTCTGTGTTGCTACTTTAACATGTTGCCAATGACTATAATTGATTTGGTTTGATGGGGCATGTCTAGGACAGCAGCTGATTTAAAATCGAAGGATTCAAGTAGGAAAGGAAAACTATTTTGACCAACATTTATGTTTGTACTCACCGGCCAGATAATTGTGTTTAACCATTTGGGGTATAGAATGCAATTGTGAATACAATAATATGATGCGGAGTTCAAGTATGTTCCACAAATACTCGAGGGATCGAAAATACTTGAATTAATGTTGGAAAATGAGTTTGGGCATAACTAGATGTGGTGTTCCTCCTCTAGTAGAGCTACTATATATCCCTAACAGGTTTATAGTACCGTAAGCTCTAATATTACTCGTTGGTCGCACGATCTATTTGCCGTATGAATCTTTGTGAAATAGATCTTGAGAAGGATTTAAGGTGTGACATCTATTATCAGTTGTGGTTCGGATCAACCCCATCATGTGTGAGTAAGAGATGTTGGAAATTACGGATAATGGGTCGCCCATGTGAGGTGACCCGACCTGCAGGATTTTAAAAGGGTTGGAGGGAGTGGTTTGAATTTAGAATTCAAACACATAGATTTGAATTTAGAATTCAAACACATAACTCCCAAGTAACCACTTGAAACTTCCATATAAAGGTTATGGAAAAGAGGGAAAAATACAAGACATGAGAAAAATGGTGAAAATTCGTATGGAAATTAACACCAAAATTAACAAGTCCTTAGAACCATATTTTTGACATAAAATCTCACAAAAAATGGCACTTAGATTGTGGATAATAATATCCTTCCATTGTGATCTGGATTGGCACCATTGGAGAACAAGAAAATGTAGATTTTGGAGCTTTAGAATGCAAGGTGATACAATCACACAAAAAGATCTTGAAATTCATCATTTCAAGTAAGTTTCTTGACCCGAAATTCATGTCAAAGCATGTTGCGAATTCCTATGGACCATATTAATAATCGCCCCTTCAATGGAAAACTCTTTAATTATCGTACTCATTTTCAATCATACATTCACTTAATAACATATTTTGGGCATAAACCCAAATTTTTTTTAACTTTTTAATCTCATATTTTTCAAAAAATCACCTTTCAAAATATTGCTTTTCCTCAATATTGGCTATCAAACGGGGGCTAAAAATATTCATATGATATATGCAAGCTCCAAAGATATCTATGTGAACAAAAACGAAAAATGAAATTTATTTAGTACATGAGAACTGTCCCAAAACCGTAGCAATGAAAATTATTTTTAAACTCGAATTTGCAAATCATCAAAACTCTCGAATCTCCTTAGAGAAATTAATTATTCTTCTAATCTCGAATTTGGAAATAATCAAAACTCTCGAATCTCCTGAGTGACATCCAATGGGGAAGATGAGACAGATGGTATCATCAGAAATGAATCCAATTAGTTAAAATGTGGTGAACTTGAGGGAAAGAAATGTGTAAAATTCTGATTGAAACAGGGTAAACTTTTAAAACAAATATTAAAAGGATCATAACAATTAGAATAAACCTGGCCATTCCCCATAGTATTGCTGCTGTCATTCTCATTATTCATGATATCTTTATCAGGGCTCTCAATATTTTCATCATCGTGATGACTACTCGTCTCGGATTTCTGTTTAGAAGACTCGTCATCATCCTTCGAGCGTGGGAGTCCAGTGAGTTTTTGCACCAATATCATGAAATCACGAGGGTTCGTGTGGATTATCTTGGGAGAATCAGCGTAAATGATAACTGGGTGTCGCGGTTGAGGCTTGGTCGTGGTGGCAGCCACGCCATTAGCTATGGACGAAGACAATCTTGATACAGGTGATTTCTTGATAAAATGCCATTCATTTTTTATCTTCAAAGGCGATGGAGTAATAGGGTTGATTCTCTCTGTATTTTTTATTTTTTTAAATCTATCATGCATGTTTGCTACCCTTGAAAGGGTTACTTATAAGAAGATATGTATGTTTCATGAAAAAAAAATCAAAATAACAAATAAGTTACTTATTTTGACGTAGTAAAAAAAAAAAGGTAAGATAAAAGCAGAAATGAGCCCAGACGTGAATTCTTTCACTTTAAAATTGGTAATTATCTTTAGTTGAAAAGAAAAATTTACCTGTTTGGAATTAAAATTTTACTTAAAATCAAGTTTGACTTGATTTTGAGCTTAACTAATAAATATTATTTATTTTAATTGAAAAAAAATATTTACTCGGAAAAATTGTAGACATCATCCCCTATTTTTGTCCACTTAGCACTTATATTTCTAACTTTCGTTCCTTGGTAACTCTATTTCCAACCTTTCACGTTTTCACATCTATCGTCCTCCTTGATCGAAACTGTTCCAAAAGACTGTAAGTTTGCATAAAAAAACGAAACTGACATCTACGTTAGGTAAATAAAAAAGGAAAAAAGCCAAAAAGAAATTCAAAAATAAGAAAATAATGCCTTCTGGTGCGGTTGGTGTAGGTCTTATGGGAAAGAAGACCAAGGGTTCTCAGTAATTCCATTTTTTCTTGTTTTTGTTCAAGTTAGAGGGTATTTTCATCTTAATGCATAACTTTAATGGAAATTTTGGATTGAAATAAAGATTGGAAATAGAAGTGTGAAAGAGCGTAAGATTGAGTACCGGGATTGTAATCTTTTTTAGCTTTTGACTTATTTATTTAGGAGAAAATTTAATAATAATTTTTTTAAGCTTAGCCAAACAGGCATATTTGTGCTGTGAATGTAATCAAAACATACTCCAAAAAATATTGAACTAACTTTTAAAACTCATAAGTTGTTAAGTAGTGGATAAATTCCATTTACATGTATATCACATTCCCTTCACATTCACTTTATTTATTATAGTTCCATGTTAACCATTTCATATTAAAAAAAAATAAAAAAATTGATTCATTTATATTTATGTCAACAAACATGGGAACAAAGTTTCCCTCTAGGGTAAAACGGACTTGTGTATATGTTCTAAAAAGCGTAATGTGTTCCGACGTGTGGAGGCCAAGCTAGAGGCTAGGCACAGACGTAAAAAAACATTTAAAAAAGGCATTTTCTTATTTTAATTTTTAATCAATCGAAAAATTGTTTAATAATTAAAAGTAATACCTACCAAACATCTAAGACAAATTTATAGTAAATTTATTTCCCAAAGTTTTTAACAAAAATGTAAGTTTCAAATGTAAATATTAAATCGTAAATAAATAAGATTTTTTTGGAGATTTCCTTTGTTTAAGGCTTCGAGTGACTATTTTGAATTTAGAAATGACGAAGTGAAGATATCAACATTTAAGTTTTAACTTAGAAGAATTTTAAAATATTAATAATAATAATTAAAAAATTTAAAAATGATAATTATACGCGTTTAAGTGTACATGACCCCTCTTAGGTGCGCATTAGCGGTCAACGATTGTCGTTGATTGCTAGATAGTTTCCGCCACGCATCGCAGCACCTTTTAGAACAGTGTTCTAAAGGTAATAATCATGTTAGCTGCATTATTATTATTATTATTATTATTATTATTGTGACTCAAGTGTCCGAACTTCGCTCGACTAATCTTGAGGAGTGAGTTGCGCCATATTTTTATTGCACTTAAAATATTCAATCTTCGCTCATTATAGTGGTGAGTTCCATGAATTTTGCTCGGAGGGGTTGGATTAACATATATATGGACACCATTGTCTGTGAATCATGCGGGGGCACGTCTCCTTTTTTCTACTCCTTCAGCTTGGGCACAGCAACAAGGCAAGTCGTGATTTTCTTCTTACTATTTCAGAGTGAATTGGTCTTCTCCATGGTTTTTTTTTTTTTTTTTTTTCACCATGGTTTATCTTTTGATGTTATGTTGTCAAAGTAATTTTGTTGTTGACATGCTTATAGTTGAGAAAGCAGCTATGGTTTTAAGCTTGAAGCTGGAAACTGCCCATGGCTTAACAATTCATGCACAGTTATGACAATATACACTTCATAACATTTTCAGTCTAATGAGGTAATATTTTGAATCACGTCCAGGCACAAAAGCTTATAAGTTTATGTGGCCGGAAACCTCTTATATTACCTTATATAGTTGGCTGCAAAGGCAGACAAAATCAATCTATCAAAGATGCCAATTTTGCTACTTTTTCTAATGGACAAGATCAAAGATTAGTGTTTATTCCTCCTTGTGTACTGATGGTAAACGAAGACATTTCACCAGTGGGCAAAAATATTGACAATGGAACAAGTAAAACAGATTCGATCATTCACCGAAAACTCATCAATAGTACCCAAACGGTTGCAGATGAAAACTTGCTGGAGAATGAAACTGTCAGGGAACTGCTGAAGTAGGAGATTTTTCTTGCTCAGCCCTAGAGGATAATTTTGCAAGTAGAAATGGTAAAGCTAGTGAGATTAATGGAGAAATGCTGGCTGAAGCAGGCAATTTGCAAACAAGGAAGCTGCCTAAGTAATTGACAAGTGACAGGGGACTAGTGCCAATCGTGCAGCCTCGAGAAATTAGGTTCACTTCTTGGATGTTCTTTTCATTTCCAACGTATTACTCATATTTTTGTCGAAATAATTTTGCTGTCTTCTTTCTGTCAAAATATGTGCTCCTAACATAATGAACCTAAACTGATCCTGCATTGTTGAATCTAGGTTATTGCTGCATTTCATGAAGATATTTTATTTCTATTTCTGTGTTATTTTGATGTGGCGGATTGGATCCTCGCACGAGTTTTTCCTCAAAGTTCCAAAACATCATGTAATTTCTCATTTCTTCCCAATAACTAAGGCTCTCCTAATGCACTAAAATTTAACGTCTATCACAGCTCAAGTGTTCAGCTCCAGTATCGGCCACAAATTTTCATTCACAAACATCTGGTGTACCGAGTATTGTTGGCCTAGGGTTACAACTTAAGGACCCAGGGAGGCATTAAGTGGAATTACACAATATCTCTAAGGGTGTGTTTGATTGTCATTATTTTCCATCTAAATTCCTACTTTTGTGCTGTTTGATTGATATTTTTTTTCATGAAAAATGTTTTCTCATGAAAAATGTTTTCTCACTTTTGGTCACATGGCCACATTTTCCTTGAAATCAAGGAAAATATTTTCTTTGGGGAAAGGGGATTTTATTTTCCAGGCAATTGATAACTACCATAATTCAACCCACTCATTCATGGTAAACCTCTTTCCCTCTCATAAACCTTTCCTTTCCCATTGGATTCTCTGCTTCACAAAACCCATTGATTTGTTTTTTCGGGCTTTCTCGATTCTCTGCCAATCAATTCATAATGTTGGCATTTCTCGATTTCTTTGTTTTAGTTAATTCAAATCCACGGCAAATTTCGTCTACAACGAAATCGGGATATTGAAACCCTAATTCGCGGACCACCTCCCATACCACCGCCTCATCACGACGAAGCTTTTGCACGTATGGGTCATCAGCAATTTCGATTATGAACGAACAGATTGGGACAGTTCATATGCATGGACAGTTCCAAATTATTTTCCATTTCATGGATAATTTCTCAATGTCGATTTTTAAGCCTTCTGCTATTTTATTTATTCATCTGATCTCAATTTTCCTACAGGAGTTATTAGCTGAAATGATTTCTTTCTTGCGGTCGACTTCCTGAGGTGAAGTGGGCTGGAATGGAGGCTTTGGTAATTCTGTTTGCATGTTGATGAATTCTGGGTGAGGAATTTCACTTCGTTGATTAATTGTAATATTTTCTTTTGTTAATCACTTCAATGATATCCTAGTTAATAATTTGTTGTGATTGTATATAGGGCTGGTGATGGTAATGGGAGCCCTCATTCCTGGTTTGACACGGAAATATCCACCTCATGATTCATGAATACGTATTTGTTGTGCTTTTGGTGGTGGGTTTGATCCTTTTCACCATAGCAAATGCCCACAATTCGCTGAATTTCAGTGTGATTGGTGTACTCATAACAAGTCTCCCAAGAAGAGATCCACCGATCCACCACCTCCCCCTCCTCCTCCTCCCATGGTCAAAAATGAAGTTCACAATAAAGACAACAGGTTTCAAATTGGAATTGAAGTAGAAGAAGAAAAAAGGATGTTGGTTTGATAGTTAGATGCTGCACATGTAATTTAACTTTTTATTCAATTTTATGGACGTCGAAGTAGTAAAATAACTGTATCCCTTACCTGCGCGTCGAAGAAATTTTATACGTCGCAATAATTGTGACATCTTTTTTAACTAGCATTTTTAATATTCGAGTAATTCTAGACTCACTTGTGATACATGAAATTAAGTATACGAGTGTGTCAACACACACACTTTAAAAGTTCACTAAGGGCGACACAATAGTTTGCATAGAGTTAATATATGCAATTATTAAGGTTCCTATAATTAATTAAATCGTTGACATTCAGATCACAATAAAAAATAAAAAAAAAATTTAAAAAAAAAGAAAAAAAGATGACACTAGTTAACTCCACTAAATAGGCTTTTGTGACAGAAGAAAGTCCTGAAAAATTGATTGAATAATTTTCATGGAAAAAGTGACAATTTCCATGGAAAAGGTGACAATTTCCATGAAAAATTGTGGCTATCAAACAATAAAAGTTGGAAAAAATAACAATTTTCATGGAAAATAATGACTATTAAATACCAAAAGATGGAAAAGTACAATATTTTTTAGATAGAAAATTAAGTTAATCAAACGCATTTAATTGACAATTTTCATGGAAATAATTTCTAGGCAATTTAATTGCCTAAGAAATATTTTATTTCCATGCAATTTTCCTGCTTATAATCAAACGCACCCTAACTGCAAAGTACAACTAGCTAATATTACCTTTTTTGGTAATTGGTTTAAAATTAAGAAAAAATGGTTAAGTATTAAAACCAAGAATTGTGGAAAAGTGACTTTTGTGTCATCTTCGACCAAATATTCGGAATTCATCTCATAGTCAAATTACAAATATAAATAGATAAATAGATTAAGTTGTTCTACTCGATCCTCGTGGTATATTTAGAATTTCAAAACCAATTTTGAATGAATCAAAAAAATTGGAAGAAAAAGAGAAAAAACTAGCCGGGAAAAATTGCTTCAATCTATTGCTCGCTTAGCACTCAAGTGATGGAACTATCACTCGAGCGACAGGAGGGCGAAAAGAATTTGTTAAAATTTAACACTGGCGCCCTAGCGTGAAGCCAGCGATAGGTTAGCGACAGTAAGGAATGCTTCCCTTCGTAAGGTTGTAGAGTTTGAGGTGTGTCTCTTCAATCATGATCTCTCATCCTCTATAAATAGGAGTTTTTAGATGTCCATTATGCATCCCATATCAAAACTCTTGCAAAACATCTCCATAATTAGTCAACCATATTCTCCAGTAGAGAAGAGAAATTCTATTTGAGTTCTCTATTGCTTGTGGTTTGAAGTGCTTTTATCACAAGTTTTGCCCATTGTAGAGAAGAGAAATTCTATTTGAGTTCTCTATTGCTTGTGGTTTGAAGTGCTTTTATCACAAGTTTTGTCCATTGTATTTTGGAAGACAAGTGCTATAAATCGTTAGCACAGTTGTAGGGTAATATTTTCTTAAGGAAAAAGTGATTATCGCTTGCCTCGGATATCTTTCTTCTTTACTTCGTGGTTTCTTTTATGGTTTATATATCATAAATTCTTTTTCCAAATTTTGTTGTGTTTAATTACACTCCTGCAAATTAAATTTTGTTACTTGGTTTGTTCATTACAAACAACCCTTTCACTACCAACTACTCAACAATCTTAAGACAATATTTGAGGTTGTTTTGTGGTTACGAACTTGTTATCTTCATCTCTGAAATAGGCTTTATGTGCTATTTCCTTCTCATTTTTTCTGTGTTAAACTTCTATTTACGTAACAGAAATAAATGCCATTGAGACTACTTCGAGTCAAACAACCGATGTACTAATAAAGTGGTTTCTCCTTTAGCTATACCACTTTAAAATACTGTAATCCACATGGGGAAAAATAAAAAAAGTTTGGAAGCATCGACTTCAAAAGATGGCAAAAAAAAGTTTTTTTTTCTTACTACGTTAAACTTGGCGAAGTTTCTAAAAGAGACTGCTCCTACAGTATAAGAAGGAGAAAATAATCATCAATCAGTTATTACTTTGGATGCATAGAAGCACTCAAATTTCCTATGCAAAAACTATATCTTAAATGGATTGGACAATACACTTTATGGAGTGTATATTTCGAAGGACTCGGCTAAGAATTTACTGGATTTATTGGAGAAAAAGTACAAGATCGAGGATGACAAAACAAAAAAGTTCATAGTTGACAAATTTTTGGACTACAAAATGGTAGACTCCAAGACTGTAATAAGTCAATTACAAGAACTTCAAGTTCAACTTCATGACATACATGCGAAAAAGATTAAATTGAATAAATCCTTCCAAGTTGCAACCATCATTAAGAAACTCCCACCGTTGTGGAGATATTTTAAGGACTGTCTCAAGCACAAATGCAAGGGATGAACTTGGATGAACTGATGGTCTGTTTGAGGATTAAAGAAGACAATAGAAAAATCGAAAGAAAGTCTATTGTCCAATTTGGAGTAAACTTTATTGAAATTGGTTTGAAGTTTGTCAACAAGAAGTGCAAGATCTTCGATGATAACTCCAAGAAAGCTAAGAAGTTTAAATGCAACTTTTACAATTGTGAAAAAGTCGAACATCGTTCAAACGAATGTCGAAAGCCTAAAAAAAAGGCACATGCAAATGTGGTTAAAAGAGACACCCTGTCTGAAAGGATACAAGAAATGAATATGTCTGCAGTTGTTTTTTGAATGTAACAACATTGGAATTCATGGGAGTGGTGGGTTGATATTGGTAGTACCCATCACGTGTGTGCAGATAAGACAATGTTCTCTAACTACGAAGAATTGGATAGAGAACAACTCTTCATGGGAAATTCTGCAAGCTTTAAAGTTGAAGGACAATGGAAAGACTTTGTTACATCCTCGATCTTGGATGGAGAACAACTATTCAGTTGTTTCTGCAAGCTCTAAAGTTGAAGGACAAAGAATTCGATGGAGACCAACTATTCACGTAAGAAATACTTCGTTAGTTTCATTGATGATTGTACAATGTATTGTTATATCTTTTTACTATGCAGTAAAGACGAAGCTTTAGATGCCTTAAAATGTTATAAGGCGAAAGTTGAGAATCAATTTGGTAAACGAATAAAGAATATTCATAATAATAGAGGAGGCGAATACGGGGCACTGTTTGAAGTATTTTGTTCAGAATCATCAAACAATGGCATCTTACTCACCTTAATCGAATGGGGTTTTTGAACGCAAAATTCGAACTCTTAAGAAATAATGAATCCAATGTTGTTAAGTTCCGGTCTATTTTAGAACTTGTGGGAGGAAGCTATTTTATCTGCAAATAGTATTCTTATCAAGATACTCCTTAAAAAATGAATGAATTATGGAAAAGCCAACCTCTTTCCTGCGTTAAACACTAGACAGTGTGGGGGGGGTGTTCGGCTGAGGTTGAAATACCTAAATCTAAACAAGTGAAAATTGATCCCTAAACGATAGATTGCTTATTTATTGGATATGCCAATAATAGTAGTGCATATCGTTTCATTGTACATAAATTTTTTTTAAAATATTCCAATAGGCTCTTTATGTGTAACATTTACTTTACTACTCCCAAAAAATATTTTTCCTACCCTTTTTTTCATTAACTTCTCTCCAAATTATTATGTTATTTTCCTACATTGAAAATTGAAATATTATGAATACATTTAATTACAGAGAATGATTTTGATTCTCAAAATTTGGAGAGTAAAACTCATCCTCTATTTTAAAATGTTAATTTAAAGACTTGATTGGAATTTAATGTTAAGAGCTGAATCTTTAAAATATAGAGGATATTATGTTTAAAGAGTCTATTGCAAATGCTCTAAGGCATTAAGTGGAGCAAAAACATATCTTCATGCACAGATAATCATGATGAGTACAACAAGCTAACGAGGTTTACTGATGCTTCTTTTTTTCAAACAAATTTTACATCACTACAAATTTGCTGCCCCTTCTAAAACAAGTTCAATACCAGAAAGTACTAAAAATATTCAGCGAAGAAATTCATACATTATTCAAGAATGTTTGTTGCTAAACAAACTTATTCAACGTGGAATAGTGTGTGCGAGGTGAGACAAATTTTGAGGCTTCACAGTTTGATTGGGAAAGCCTTGAGAGGCACCGCCTTGTGTAGTGTAATGGCAAACTTGTCACTTATGTCAACTTGTTCGGGCATTCCATTTTCGGGTTTCCAGTCGAAGTTATGAATCAAAGTTGCTAACATGATATGCACCGTTCTGTCAGCCAAAGGCATTCCAGGACATATCCTCCTTCCTGAACCGAAGGGAATGAGCACAAAATCTTGGCCTTTGAAGTCTATTTCACGATCTAAAAATCGTTCAGGCTCGAATGAGTCTGGATTCAACCAATAGCTTGAATCTCTACCGATTGCCCACATATTAACAAGTATTTCTGCATCTTTAGGAATTGTATAACCACTGATTTCTGTATCAACTTCAGCCTTGCGAGGTATTAAAAAAGGGCTAGCAGGATGATACCTAAAGATTTCTTTGATCACTGACTGCAGATATGGAAGTCTTGGAATGTCCCTTTCGTCAACTTGTTTCTTTTCTCCAACAACAGTCATAAGCTCATTTTTAGCTTTCGACATTTTCTCAGGATTGCGTATTAATTCTGCCATTGCCCATTCCACAGTGCTCGAAGTAGTATCTGTTCCTGCAACAAATAAATCCTAGTATATTCTAGAAATTAGTGATCTTTTCCGTATCTCTTTATCATTTTGTACGAAAGGAAGAGGTTCCCAAAGTTAATTGGTAGCATGATGAGTAACTAGAGTGGTTCTGTTGACAAATTCTTACACTAAGGAAATATATCGAGTACTCACCAGTAGTAAATGCTTTAGAACATCCAAGGTCATTTCGGATTTTTTTTTTTCCATGTAATCGAGGATGGCTTCTAGCACATCGTTTCTCACTGGATGATCAGGTGACTCACTTCTTGACTTCACCCGTTTATCGATCAAATCATCAAATATTGCAAATATTTTGCTGATGTGTCTCCCGAATGTACGCTTAATACCTTGAGGATCAATGGGTTCAAGAACTGGGAAGAAGTCTGCAAGATTAGGAACGACTACAACTTCCATCAAACTCCGTACAACTTCTTTTGTTCCTTGGGAAGAACTGGAATTAAATTCAGCAAAATCAATGGAGCAAAGAGTAACTGACATGAGATTAAGCGATGTGGTAAACGCAGCATCACCAATATCAACTATTTGCCCATTACTACAACAATCATGCACATAGTCACACAATTTCTTCAATTTTTCTTGGCGAAGACCCTGGCTTGCATCCAGTCTATGTGACGAGAACATTTGTTCTTTACAAATTTTCCGTATATTTCGCCATTGGCTATCCACGGGCAAATAAGCCACAGACTTTTTGAAATGATCATTTGCTCTTACGGCAGCTGGAATTGATCGAGAAGAAAAGATATGGTCGTGTTTTTGTAGTATTTGTTTGGCAATATCCGGTGATGAGACGACGATTGTATTTCTGCTCCCTAGCTTTAGATACATAAGAGGACCATAAATTTTGGAGAGTTTGGCTAGTGATTGATGGGGGCTTTGGCCAAGTTGAAGAATGTTACCAATTATCGGAAAAGGGTAAGGCCCCGGTGGTAACTTGCCGGATCTCCGTGGCCTTAGATTTAATCTTATGACATGCCACAATACAAAAGATAATACTACCAGCAGAAGTGTTAGAAAATCCATTGAAAAAACTTTCCTTTGCTGTTCTTTGTATGGCACTCAAGCTCTATTTATAACCGTAAATTGTGCCTGGGTGCAGTTTCGTTTGAGTCTATCTTGACTTCAATCTCAAACCAAAACCAAATTAGTTGGTTTGGATGAATTTCAACTCAAACCAACCCATTCTATCTCTTAAACCAAACCAAACTTCGATTAGTTGGTTTAAAAAAAAAAAAAAATCCGAATTTTAGGCCCACTTAGATTACAATAACTAAAATAACTAAATAACTTTATATTACAATAACTATTGGTTAACAAATAAAATCAAGTTAATAGAGACGGATCAATAGAAGACTTAAAAATTTTGTTGCTTTTCTATGTATTATGTGACATGATTGCCTAAGTATTGAAAAAATGTTAAGTATAAAATAATGAGCTCGAGAAATGAAATTTCCAATGCTATTGCTTACCGACAATATCATAAATTTGAGGGAATCGAGATATAGTTATGAGAGTAGGGCTGATCTTTAATTTTCATTTTTCTAAAAAAAGAGGTAAACATGTAAGTGGATTGTGTTAGTTCGATTAACCAGTAATTTGAGGCTTCAAACTATGATTGAATCAATCCACCATGATTTTGTTTAAACAATTGTTTGTGTCAAACCGACTTTGATTTAATTGGTTTGATCGGTTTTTCGATTTTTTTTGCCTAGGCCTACACAAGGGTAACTTTATTTACTCCACAATTTTTACATATTGCACCATATTTTAATTGTAATGGAAGTTATAAGTTCATGTTTGCTTTAGCTTAAAATCTTGTTAAGTTAACGTCAAAATTAATTTTAACCACATTTTCTAATATTCACAACATTTAACTACATATTTCATCAATTCTTATCAAAAGTCACTAAAAATATGATTTTTAGTTACATCAAACAACGGCTAATTTTTGAACAATATTATATTTATTTTCTTCTATTTCTTATTCATATCATTTCTTACTTGGTATATATTATCCATGATGAAGATTTTCATTGAAAAATTCCATTAGAAGGTCATATAAAGATTTATTTGCCCCTAATATTTTTAAGTGGGCCAAAAAAATAACAAATATACAAGTTCGACAATATTTTTTTCCTCATTTCAAAGTATGCTGACAAAATATTTGTACAAATACACTTATTTTTCGCTCTTGAAGTTGGAATTTGTCCAAGTTTGAAAGTCCAATAACTATATAGTAACATAACGTAAAAGCTCATTTCTTTTTCTTTATTCTTCCTACGTGCAAGGTTGGAAACTCAATATTTTATATCACAAAATAAAATTTAATAATGATCAATTGTTTTCTTTTCTCTCTGCAAGTTGGAATTCATCCACAAGATTGGAAATTCAACATTTATATCATTTACTTCTTGCTCTTGAAGTCGGAATTCATCAACATGTTTGAAAATTCAATAACTTCAAGATAACACCGCATCAAAGCACACTTATTATGTCAGGTATTTGACGTTGTAGCGTGATGATTCTCACTAAAGTCTAATATTAGCAAGCTAACCTTAGTGTCGAAGATAATGATAACCCGACTTTGCACATCAATCACATATTTTTCTGTCCAAGCTGGTATTCATCCACAGTTTTGAAAATTGAGTCTTTTCCCAAAAAAAAAATAATAAATAAATAACGAGATGATTGAATTTGATTGTGAGGAGTCTTTCTAATGGAACATTTTCAATTCATTATTTAAGGAAAAGTCAAGCTGGATAAACAGACCGTTACCCATATTTTTGAAATGCTAAACTTATTCAACGAGAAATAGTCAGACTTAACTAGTTTGGAAATACTAAACTTATTCAACGAGAAATGGTCAGACTGAGGCGGCACAGTTTGACTGGGCAAGCCTTGATAGACACTGCCTACTTCTCGCTTATGTCAACTTCTCAGGATTCCGTAGTAATTCAGTTATTGCCCACTCCACCGTGCTAGAAGTAGTGTCTGTTCTTGCAACGAATAAATCCTAATATATACGCCAGAAATTAGTGATCGATCATTATACAGTATGGAAGTATATGAATACTAAGTTTATTTTATTTCACTCGCGAGAAGGAGATCCTTTAA